CATCCATCCATCCATCCATCCATCCATCCATCCATCCATCCATCCATCCATCCATCCATCCATCCATCCATCCATTTTCCTACACGCTTGTCCCTGGACAGGTCGCCAGTCCATCGCAGTATTTTAGACATTAAATAAACTATTTATTGTGTAAAAAGTCCATTTTAAACCTATCCAATCTATGCCATCTAATGTAGGTATGTAGAACTACAGTCTTGGAGGAAATTATGGAGCCCTATAATGCAAATGGCATTATTCTACCAGGAAGAGATCAGGTACATAAGTAAAACACACCTTCCCTTCAGGAAAATATATAGTCAAATCATTGAACTGCATGGAAGGGCAGCCCTGTTCAACCATAAAAGCTGAGCACGTATTTTGGGCAGACTTAGATGCACACAATCAATAAAACACTTCAAGGAAATGGTGTGATTTACCTATTGAAGGAGCTCAGCAGTACAGAAGACAGCAATCTTCTCGGAGGTTGTTTGAGGAGCAACTGCAGCTTTATGTTTGCTCTCCAGCTTTTCTATTCTGGTGGGATTTCTGGTTCATTATCTCCCTGAAAGACTCAATCACATAGAGGGACCTTCTGCACAGCCTGTGGAGGGTAAAAATTAGTCATGCGTACGCTTGGTCAAAAACTATGATCTGCTTTATTACTTTTTTATATGATCCTAACTGGTTCATCATCTCATTAGGAATTTTACATTTAGTTTAATTCATTTTATAATGTTTTGATGTATTCGCTAATCTTTCGCTTTTAGCCTGAATCCTGTTGCTTCAGCTCACATGTGTCGTTCTTTGTTCAGATTGAGGGACTGCAGTCTGTCAGAGAGCGGCTGTGCTTCTCTGGTCTCAGCTCTGAAGGCCAACCCCTCCCACCTGACAGAACTGGACCTGAGCCGCAACAACCTGAGAGACACTGGAGTGAAGGAGATCTGTGGTTTTCTCCAGGCTCCTCTCTGCAAACTACAGATATTGAAGTAAGAAGCCAGGCTTTTTACCTCTGCATTTAACTCATCCCCTTTGGGAGCAGTGGGCTGCCATTGTGCGGCTACTGGGGAGCAGTGTGGGTTTAAGGGTCTTTGCTCAGGGATCCAGAGTGGCAGTCTGTGGGAGTGGGGCTCAAACTCAGAATCTCAGGATTCCAAGCTCTATGGCCTAACCACTAGGCTGCCACTCCCCAGTTTAATCCACCTCCTGTTGACTTGAGCTCAAGTTTTACTTTTTTTCAGATTGAGGAACTGCGGATTGATCGGCTGTTCTTTTTGGCTCTTTTCTGCTGAAGCTGTGCAGCTTGACTGACATGTTTTTTCTTTATTCAGACTGAAGGGCTGCGGTTTGTCGGAGATCAGCTTTGCTTCTCTCGTCTCGGCTATGAAGTCCAACCCCTCCCATCTGATTGAACTGAACCTGAGCAATAATGAAGACCTAAAGGACGCTGGAGTGAAGGAGCTCTGCACTTTCCTCCAGACTCCCCTCTGCAGACTGCAGACGTTGAAGTAAGACCCAGAGCTTTAGATAAGTGCAAAACATATGGCTGATGTTCCACTAAACCAAACTAAGAAACTGGAAGAATAACTAGTGATTGATTAAGGATGAACTGGGGACACGGCATTAGAGTTATTACACTGCAAATAATGTAAATCTAAATAACTATTTTTCAGTGCATTTTTTCTTGAATTGAGGAGGTAAGTGAGACACTTTGCCAATGAAACGAGACAATTTACTGTACAATTCCATTGGCAAACTATCTTATTTACCTGCTCAAACTAAGAGTAAATTTACTTAATTTAAGACATTTTTCTTATTTCTAGATCATTTTTGTAATGTGCTGTAAGAAAATGGAGAACAAAGTTAATCTCTTCTGTCCCGTTATTATTCTTTCTCTGTGTAACTCCTTGATCTAAGGTCAGAACCAGACGGTATATTAATGCAGTGTATTAATGCTCTTCTTTTAAAGTAGCTTTGCTGACATGTTTTTCTTTTTTCAGACTAAAGGGCTGCGGTTTGTCAGAGATCAGCTGTGCTTCTCTGGTCTCAGCTCTGAAGTCCAACCCCTCACATCTGACAGAACTAAACCTGGGGTCGAACAACCTGAGGGAGTCAGATGTTCAGCATCTGGTGGATCTTAAAAAGAGTCAAGAGTACAAACTGAAACATGTGTGAGTAGACAGTTGGGAGTCCAGCTGCTGTTGGCGGCATGGTTCTAAACTCTGTTTAGAAGCTATCCAAGCAAAATCCAGTGTTTCTGATGATGCGGTAGCTTCTGAGAGGGAGAAGGAGGGAGACATGGTTCCTGATTGGAGGGCAGAGGAGACAAACAGCCAATCAGAGGAGCCAGAAGATTGCTGACTTCCTGATTGTCTTCATGTCTACAGCAAGATTCCAGCTGCCAGCTTCCTGTGGAAACAGTGGTCCTCAGCATCAGATCCGATCTCAGAACGGATCAGGTTCCTGTGAGCCACAGCTCTGAGATCAGTCTGACTGCAGTCTGACTGATCACTGTCTCTGATTTCACAAAGCATTTGGTCCCCATGTGGTGTTTCTACAGAGCATAACATATGGACACCTGTCCCTATAGCTATGATCAGTGTTCTCATCCACACACAGATCAGTTTGGAAAAGCACGTTTCTCTCTGAACACAAGTATAGAAAGAGTTTTTTAAAGCTACAGTGTGTAATAATTACAGGGATATACAGTCAGAAATGTAATATATTATACATAACTATGTTATTTATCATCATCTACGAGCTCAGCCTCTTAACCTTAATATTTGGGTTGCCTTAGAATTCGTTATTTATAATAACATAGGAGCGGGTCTCGCAGCCATGGAGGCAGACATCTTTGCGCTACGGCAGCGCAGAGCCAACAAACTAGCGATTGCGAGATCGCCCATTACGTTCGAAAGTAACTACGGCAAGTTGAGAGAGATGAACTGAGACGGTACTGAACACACAGACTAATGAAATACTATCTGTAAAATTATCTATGTAAACAAAACTCATCACTTGAGAAGGTAGGTGATGCGGACGTCGTGGAAGACATTTTGTCCCTTAACGCTCGCCGTACTGTTGGGGGGGAGAAGCGGTGGGGGGGAGATGTTCATGTTGCTGCGGTCTGCAGTCTGGACGTTAGATGTCGCTGAAAATTACACACTGTAGCTTTAAGTAATGGGAAGAACCACACAAAAACAGATTCCAGAAAATAAACTCAGATTTTAGCATTTAGACCTGCAGCAGGAAGGTAGCCTGATCTCTGGTGCTTCTTCTTCTTTTGCAGGAGGTGGAGGTGATGATCTTTGTACAGGAGAGAAGCTGAGCTGTGCCCCGATGACCTACAGGTGGAAAAGAAGCACTTTATTTATTAACTTATGTATTTTAAACAAACAATATAATTTAAATCCAGATAGCATATCGCATAAATAGCGGAGTGTTGGCCTAGTGTTTAGAGCAGAGTGCTTGTGCTCTGACCCGGTTCGATCCCCACAGCCTCCATTCTGGGTCCCTGAGCAAGACCCTTAACCCCACACTGCTCCCTGGGCGTCGCACAATAAATAAAGGGGTTTTCATTCTGAATTGTTTGAAAAGGAGCAGGTAGCAGATTAAAGTAACTATGGTTTCCCATTACTGGTACCTCAACATGTTACCATGTTAATCTCTCCAGACTAGTTCCATCCTTAGAGAATTAACACCATAATAAAAACACCAGTGACTTCTTATCGCATATAAACCATTAACAGCACTAATAACAATAATTTCTCATTTTGTTGCCCATCCTGTAGAACATAGTTTTCTTTAACTGCTAAGGATTTCCTCCGTGGGTGCGTTTTTATACCTCGTACATCACATATTAATCCTTAATTCCTGCTATAGATCCATCCCACACATAGACGAAAAAAAACATACTTTTGTTTTTTCTGATCCCTTGTTATATTTAAAGATACTGACTGGATGATGATCTGTATATAACACTGTCTGTTGTTACCTGTTAACTGTTAACCTGTCTTTCTCAGTCTGTCAAATAAATGAATAAAACTCAACTCTGAAGTTTTCTGGCTGCATGTTTGTTTCACTGAGATTCAACAAGAATTTAAAATCTTCTCTGTTCTTCCTACAAAACATTTCTGATTCTATTGAACCTCTTTTTATAGCGACTTTAAAGATTGAGTTACAAAGTTCTTCACAGTGCAAAGAAAATGCAAAAACTAAAAAAAAACTAAATAAACTAAATTAAAAAGAAATAGAAATCCTAGAATCAACAGCTAAAATTGAATCAGATGATGGTTTTTAGGCTAAATCTGGTCGGTCCGTCATAGTCTTGATTTAGTCCTGAAATAGTTGTTCAAAATTGGACTGTTTGTCCGTCTGATTTTGTCCCACATTAGTCCAATAACAGACAATGAAAAGACAATTCAAACCCAGTATTCAAAGTCTTCTCAACTACATGAAAATCACTTTTCAACCAAATGTAGCCGTCATTTGGATGTAAATCATGTTGTCTTTTCAACAATTTTTTCTTGGTGGGATAAAAAGGAGTTCAAGTATTTTAAAGTTTTAGAAGCAGATTAAAGGGGTTTGTCTGATGATAAGTGTCCATTCATTCCACTGGAGAGGAGCTGTGACCAAACCAGCTACATGTTTAATCTGCTTACATGATCTAAGAATAAGATCTAAGATAGGTAAACTAGAGAGAATTGTTTTTTTAATTGCAATAACATTTATTGCAGCTTACTTTTCTTTGTTCAAGTATTAAAAAGTTTGGTTGAAGGGGGGTGCAAAAACTTTCTACTAAGTCAAGGGGGGTGGCAACCACGAAAAGTTTGTGAACCACTGATTTAAGAGGAGGTGTAAGGAGTAAGCAGCTCAGACACACAGGGCGGAGCAAAAACATCACAGTGCAAGGAGGCAAGTATGGGAGGGATATTTGAGAAAATGTGGATCAGGTAAAGAAATGGCTTCCTTCACACCACTCTCAAACCACCTGTCTTCTGTGTCAAAAATGTGAACATTCTGGTCCCAAATAAATGTCCCTTGTCCATAAGGTGTAGATGGACAGCGGAGTCTTGTCCGGCGGAGGTCGCCAGAGGCGTAGCCAGAACATTTTTATAAGGGTGTCCAGGCAATAACCAATGTACACTGAGGGGGGGCCGAAAGCGGATAGGGGCCAGAACCTCAGGGTCAATCTACACTGTTCCAACAGGAAACTTAATGAGAAAAACATCCATATTTTCTAAATAAAGACTAACTATACTTTCCTTCAGCCTTTTCTAACAAATAGAAGCAAATATTTAAACATCCGTGCTTTCTAGATAAAAGGTATAGTGGTATAAAAGTATATTACTTACCTGCTTCTATCAACAAACATTCTGCATAAAATTGATATTTACAAGCACTAATATCTCCATGGAGACAGGAGCCCAGGAGCTGGTTTAGCTGAGCAGGTTTGGGTTTCTATGGATCCAGATGAGCAAGACCTTAAATAAAGTCCAAAAAGCAAACTGTGGTTCCTAAAAGGGGTATGAAAAATATATTTTACTTCTTCATACACCTTTTCAGACAATTTCCGTTAATCAATTCCATTTCTCTGGCTGTATATACTGATAGGTTGTTGGAGGGTTTTGTTTCTATTTATGTTTAGGTGAATTCAGGTAGTTTGAAAATTAGTGTTTAGTTTGGTTCATGTTAACTAGTCTCTTTGTGTGTATTTGGTTGATTTATTTATTGCTGTTTGTCAATATTGTCTAAAATATGAAGACGGGCCACAGCCCAGCAGCCAGCCCTGAGCCTGGGCTGGTTCTGGAGTTGCTCAGAGGCACAGAGGGATTTAAACCGACAGCCAGAAAGATCCTGCATCTTAGCAGGCTGAGCCTCTCTGCAGAGCCGGATCTTTGCTTTAGTGACGAGTGTCTAACCTCCAGTAGCTGCTTCATCTCTTTGGTTTTAAATCTTTTCATAAAAACACATTTATGATCCGACTGTGGAGCAGCTGGAATATCAGACCTGATTTCATCAGTTATTCTATCAGACATGCCAACTTGTTTTACGGTTTAATTTTCATGTGAAGCTTTTTTTTTTCCTTGTTTCAATACATGGTCTAATCCAAAGCAGAAACCTATTGTGTTTTCCAGAACTGAACGTCTTTAAGAAGTTTGTTTCTGGAATGAATAGTTTGAAATAAACTAACGCTGCCTTTCTTTAACCCCCTCAGGCTCAAATTAAGTTGTAGTTGCAGGAAAAATCTGATAATTGGAGAAAATTATTATATGGGGTAGTAATATACAATTCAGACTTTTTTTGAGAGAGACCTTTACATGCAATGAATTTTGGGAGGTTGCAGATTTGCAACAGTGGCCTGGAGTGGTAAATTAACACTGAAGACTGAATCTGATATGAAAGTTAACTTTATTTGAATGTCACAAACAAAAAAATAAAACAAAATTCGAAAAACAAATTTTCTCTCACAAATTTGGGGAGAGACAACTTTTCCCCAAACTTTTTCTCCACCAACATCTCAAAACCTCTTGAGAAGGCCGTTACTGTTAAACTGCTGCTCAAAATTTAGGCAAACTAGTAGATAAAGAATGTAGCATCCATTGGTACCTGTTTGGGCACACGTTGCGAATCCACAACATTGAAATCGAGATGCCTCTGGTGAAAAACTCAGAGGAGATAAAATCTACTAATTGATATGTGTCATATCTAAACACATTCATGATTCATCTTATGTAGTATTGATTTCAAAATAATGGAAATTGGAAGTGATACTTACATGAAATTGGTGCTTAGAAAATCAGTTTCAGTGACACCAAGGACTCAGCCATGTTGAAAGTGAGTCAGCATTGCCATGTGGTGAGCTGGAGAGAAACTGTTAGTTGCAAATGCACAACTAAGTCCTTCTGTTGTACTTCTGAGTAACAAAAGCTAATAAAATATGAATGTGGAGTAATTAGCTAAGTAGCATTGAGCTGTTGCAAATCTGCAACATCTGCCTGGAGAGGGTTAAATCCCGTTTATCACTTTAGCTTTGTACAAAAAATAGACTTTAAACTACCTAAATGGGCCTGTGTCGCTTTAGTCATGTACAAACAAAAAAACAATTTAATTACTTACTTTTTGGTGTTTTTTGAAGCGTATGGTGATCTGACCTTAAATTGTTTTGTTTTTTTTGTACATGACTAAAGGGATACACAAGCATTAAGGTAGTTTAAAGTCTATTTTTTGTACAAAACTACAGGGATAAATGCAAATCTGATGTTTTGCACATGCATATTGACTATAGGTTTGCTGGTCTGACAGAAAACTGCCATCTTGGGACCATTGAAGTGTTTGTTATTAACAACTCCAACAGCCATGTATATTTTAAAAAGAAGCGGTTTCTGAAAATCTCCCCAGAGCATGAAAGATTCACCTTCTGTCCTTCCTGTGACCCAAACCTCCCAGAAACCTTTAAAGGAAAAGTCTGCTCACATTTAGAATACAAACTCCTGAAAGTACTTTAAATATGAAATTATTACATATTTCTCAATAAATTGTGTTTTTATTTAAGAGTAATTTTCATGTGAATGTGCTTTACTGGAGGCATCCATGTTTGTCAAAGAACACTACTGCCGCCTACTGGTTAGTGACATTGTCACGGTGCGGTATCGGCTGTTGATCAAGTCCCAGTGCTGTATCTGGTGTTTGTCACAACGCGCTATTATCCAAGTCATCTTGAAAACATT